GCCTACATATTCAGGCCACATTTCAGAATCGTTGATCAGAAGCTGTCATGATCAGTAAGAGAAAGTTGTCAGTTAAAGGTCAGTCATGAGTCATCTGTTGAAATGTAAAAACAGTTACAGTCAGATATATGGAAAGGTATGTCAAAGTTCTTGTTGACCAACAGGGAAAATCTGGTTCTTTAGTCTGTCATGAGAGAAAAAACTGTATTATTTATCTATCTTCCCCAGACTGTGCCAGGGGAATTCATGAATAAAGAAATGACTATCTTACTTTGCCATTTTCACTTTTTGTTCTTTTGATAAATGTACAATGGACCTTTTCCAGTTTTTTGTTCACACTGACATAAATGGAAATTAAAACTTACCTCTTCTCTTCCATATCTTGACCATGTGAATTTAAGCATGTCGTTAGATTGGCTATTAGGTTTCGTCATTGTTTTAATAGCTAGATTTAACCATAAGTTCAATAGTTTCTTTACTTGCATTTCTTACCTCTGGAACTCTTCCGATTTTTTTGGCTTCCCTGTCACTTATACTCTTTAAAAATTTAAATGCAATATCAGTCACCTTCTTCTGCCTTCCTGAACCTGTTCTTTTATTGTCCTCTCATTCTCTTTCACTCTCAGTGACCCCTTCCATTTTTGTGGCATTATCACCTTGTTTGAGGTGAAATGAAAAAAAAAAATCCCACAATGTGCAATGAAGTTGTCCAGTCAGTAAGAAACTGACCAAAAGGGCTGCGGTTGAATGTTTACATCTCAAATGGAATTTAAATTTGATATGTTCATGTCATTTTCCCTGCCAATAACATTATATACCACTCAGCACAGAATCTGAATATGATTTTCTGAAAGTGCTAGACTAAAATAGCTTGCAAGAAATAAATCAAAGACTTATTGTGAATAGTTACTGGCAAGGAGGTGCCAGATAGCATAAGCAGAGAAAATGATAAAATGTTTTCAGATTTCAGCTGTGGCTGCTTATTCTAACTTAACAGTAATTCTTCTGGGAAATGTAAGAATTTGCATTCTTGTTTTCTGTTTCATAACTAGAAACAATTAAGAATATTTGGTATAGGGCATGGCATAAGAATTGATGTCAAAAAGCAGTTAAGTGATATTTCTTTTTTTTTCTTTTTGGAAGCAATGAGATTTTAGGAGTCAAAGAAGAATGTCACTAACCTCACTCTCTCATGCATATATATATACATATATATAGTTTATGAAAAACTAGGTAATCCGTATGGGTAAACCCAAGGAGGATAAAATCCAGAGAGCTCAATGTAAATCCAGAGCAAATAATTTAAATAAAAACAGACCACTTTAAAGTTCCATGTTAAAGTGGTCTGTTTTTATTTAAATTATATATATATATATATAGTTTTATGGTATGTTATATTTATGTATAAAAGTGACCAATATCAAAGAGTGTATGTAAATATAAAAGCATGAAACAGACTGTTGCTGATGGATTTTGACTGCAATACAAGAACCATTGTTTGATCCAACTTGATTTTAATGCTCAGCTACAAAGAGCTTCACAATAAAGCAAGGTTTTGTTTGGCCTTTACGCACATACACACACACACACACACACACACATATATATATATATATATATGAGACATACACTCACAAATGAGAGGATTATTTACAGATGTATTGGCACATCTGCCTAGGATTAGAGTGAAGTGTTATATAAGAACTATTTTCCACCCTCCAACCTCTCTCTCACAGGTGGGATGGGGCAAGTCTTTCACTGCTCTATTGCTACTTCCATGGAAAGTGCTTGAATGAACTACATTCCTTGGTTCCTCTAGGACCTGCCATGCCACTTACATGGTAGCAAACCACCCACATTTCCTCTGTATTCTATTGCCAAGAAGTAAGTTTGCCTCAAACAGCTTCTCGCAAAACACTGCTCTGCAAAACTGACTCCTAAGAGGATGTTTTCCTGATCATTATAATCTTAACCTGTTCGTCTAGAGTTAACAGTTATCACCGCCCTCCTATTCATATGAACTACCTCTTAATGTAACTATCTACCTCAAATGGCTCCCAGGCCTTGTACAAGTTAAACCTGTAAAAAACAACAACATTGATATGCAAATGTGCCTAGTGTTACCATAACAATGGAATATCTTATTATTAAGTAGAAAAGATTAGGTTATTATTTTGTGCAGTGACTATTTTAACTGTAATATATTTAAAAAAATACAATTCTTTCTTCCACATGACAATAGGGTTAATTGTGTCAATAAAAGTTCAAAATTATTTTTGCAGAAAATGTAACCATTGCAAAAGTACATAAATATAACCGTCATTTTTTTGTGGTAGAAGTGAAGTTGTGTGTGTATGTATGCACATATATACAGGGTGCGGTGGCTAAATTGTCACCATTTCATATTTTTAATTTCGCATATGCACATTTTTTTTGATTTTGTCAACTGCACAGTATAGTAGGGTCAGACTGTGAGAAAACCATACCATGACGCAATTTATTCAGCCAGAAATTTGGAGATGGCATCCTGTACTGCTTGGTGTTAGCCCTGGAAGCTCAAATACAAACATTTCAGAGTGTTTGGGTGTCAGTGCAGAGGATTCAGAAAGAGTTGGATGAGTCTAATGGTGATTACAAAGGTATGGCAGCTTCGAAAACTCACTCTAATTAGAAAAGAACTCCAAAGCTTGTTGGTAAGGGCCACAGACTCAACATGGAGGCCTACAGCAAGTGCCTTGAGGAGGTTATGCTGCCCTGGGTCAAGAGGGTTTGGTAACATGACTCTGCACCATGCTACACAAGCAGGAGAACCCAATCATGACTGTCAGACAATTTCTGTGACCACATCACCCCTTAAATCTGGCAACCTAATTCCCCAAATTGCAACCCCCTTTTGTGGGGTGCAGTTGAGCAAGAGACTAACAAAACTCATTATAACACCAAAGACAAACTGAAGGTAAGGATTAAGTCAGAATTCACCAACTTAAGCAAAGAGATCGTCCAGAAGATTTGCAGGAAATTCCAAAGTTGTGTGGACGCTGTGTTGAAGCCAATGGCGATTTTATTGAATAAATTTACTCTTTAGTATTTCAAGATATTTTTGTGTAATTTTGGTAAATATATCTGTTAAGATGAGATGTCAGTGTTATTTTCATTTTTGCATAATTTAGATGACAATTTTCCATCACACTCTGTATATATGTGTGTGTGTGTGCGTATATATTTCAATAACAATTTCTAATTCATGCACATTTTGTTGAAGGCCAACAAAAGTGCTTTGTTTTTTTTAATTGAATTTTTGTTTAGTTTGGACTGACCATTTTTCTGGTGTCTTTGAGTTTTAATCAGCCATTATCAAAGAATTATTTGTGGAATGACAACATTGTTTTTAGATATGCATTGTTCATTTGGTGATTTTTGAGTGTTGCATTTTTATGTATTGATTTTTTTTTCAAGTATTGTGTCTTTTCACATCATTTTGCAGTGCTTCTTTTTTAATGTAGTGAAATATATTTAGTATTAGCTTAAGAGCCACAATCCTTGTTGATTTTTAATCTAGCTCCTGTGGAGGGGTAATTTGACCTCCGGTCGAAAAATGAACAGACCTCTGAACAGCAATGATAATTTTGAAGAAATTACTTTGAATTCCTTAATTCACTCCATGGAACTTTAAAACCTCACTTTAACTCAGATTTGGGCTATAAGTCCAGTCCTGGCTAAAAGACTGATTTCTTCTGAAATTCCAATTCAGGCTGAAAATTGAGTTCTTCAAATCACAAACTCTGTAGGACTTCAAAACCTCATGTCAACTCTGATTCCTTGGCATTTTGAAGAAATAAAATTGATTTCCTTAATTCACAAATTTTTGAAGATATTTTAAACTGAATTTAAAACAAAATTTTTTAAATTCACAAAGCTTTTGTGTTACTTTAAACTCCATATAAATTAAAATCTTTTAAAACCATAATTTTTTTTCAGTTATTTTAAAATTTGAATTTTTAACTGTTCCCTCCTCATCCAGACACAGATCCTAATGATGGATGTTCAAACACCAGATGAAGGGCAAATTTTCAATCCTATTATTATCCTGATTCTAAAAAGGTATAATATGTCTATGTAGAGCAAGAGGTTTTCAGACACATAGAAAACAAACAGAATTTGCTGTTTATTTATTTAGAAGATAGATATTTGCTTCTAAATTGAATAAAATTCTATTGATGGTTAAGACTTTGAATATTGTAGTTTTTCTTTTTTTATACAACTTATCTGGTATAGTATTTTTGTATCATTGACAAAGATTGTCAAGTTTCTTGCTGTGCTGTTGGTGATATTCAATTGAAATTAGCTATTATTAAATAAGTGGAAAGTTAACTAGTGTGATAATGTTGTAATTGTATAACCAATGTATATGTTGTTTTTATTATGTGAGAAGCATTCTCCAACTGGACAAGTAAATTTCATATTTGCAGGTTGTAAGTTTAAACCTTTACTACTTTAGTGTTTGTTCATCCATCAACGAATTGTATTAAATATTCACTTTATCTTAATTTGGGAGTATGAGGCTAGTTACTCTACTCACTTCCATTATAAACTGTAAGACAGCTTTTTCCTAAGAAATTCTACTTTGTAGAACAGACTCCTGTATGGATGCTTCCTTGAACATTACAATCTCAAGTCAAGGATAAATTGTTGCCTATACTCACATTCTCCTGCACACCTCATTCAGTAACACTTTAACTTCAGTTGCTTTCAAGCCTTGTATTGAGTGAAATTTAGTAACAAAAAATTTCTCCCACCAGCTATGGATTAAATAGCAAGGCAGACTGGGCTCTCTAGCCTTGGTTAGCAATCAATCTAGAAGGATAACTCTGAATTCAAGCTGTAAAAAGCCTATTTGCTGTGGAAATCAAAGCAGCGACATGAACAAGGTGAGGATGCGTCTCTGTCATATGGGGTGAGAAGAACTTGGCTCTCTCTCTCTGGATTATGGCAACATCAAATTGAAACACTGGTTCTTGTACAATTACCAAAGTTAAACAACATTGAGCCTGGTCAGTACCTTAATGGGTGACCACTTGGGAATACCAAGTGCTGTAAGCTTGGACGTGCAGGTGGTGTAATGGATAATAGCTTGGAATTGTTAATTAGAGAGCCAAGTTCCAATTCTAGTTGGCTTCATTATATTGACTCAGATGCAAATACCCTTGAGGAAGGTAGGAATCTACCTCTTATCCCCCAGCTATGGGTTAATTACTAAGACTTGTATCACTAAATCATTATTATCTTAAATAATCTAAAAATATTTTCTGGCCTTAAATAACCTGCAAAAGGGGTGATAAGACATAAAAAATGAAATCAATCGTCTCTTTCTCTCTCATATATTAGTTTGTATTTTTCAGTTTTTCCAATTAAAATGAATACTTTAAATTAATTTCAACTTATAAATTTAGCCATCATGTCATATATATTTTGAATTGAAAGAAAATATTTGAGATTTTTTTTGTCCTTCTTTTGTTAGTTGTTGAAAGCAATAAACAAAAGATAGAGTGATAATGAACAGTGATACTTTTTCTGTTTCTGTGTCAATAACAGAATTGCTGTCGGGTAATATTTAACAGTCTTATTTCATTATTGCTGAAGTAGACAGACCCGTGAAAATTTCATGGTTTTCATATTTCAATTTCCTGAGGAATCTTAATTCTTAATTTTTCAGTTAATGATTGAAGAAGTTCATGGTGAGTCCCACGACAAATTATCTGTAGAAATTCCCCTATTGCATTGTTAAATATTTGAGTTTAACAACATTAACAAAATATTGCAGTAACAATCATAAATATGAAAGCCGGTCATTATTTAAAGAAGTAATGGGGTACAAATGAAAAGATTTGAAATTGACAACTTTTCCATTTCACGTCTTGGTTTCATTTTCTCACTGAAACCAAGCAGTATTTCTGATATGTCTTTTCCATATTTCCACATGCATAAAAGAGAATAGTCTATTATTTAAGAAGTATTGGCAGGATGTAACATACATATGTGCTAATTAAGGAACTAAGGGAAGGACAAGTAGAATTATAAGAAAATCTCTTCTGGTCATATGACGCATGCTCAGTACTATTCAAAGTGGGCTAGCCTTCTGTTACTATGACAATGGAAAATAAAATATATATATATATATATATATATATATATATATATATATATATATGTGTGTGTGTGTGTGTGAAAAATATATAGAAAATAGGAAAGAACTCATTAGGTAAATAATCCAAATTTCTTTAGTATTTTTGTTATTATTTTTAAAAAATAGTGCTTGATACAAAAGTAGAGCATAAATATAATTATTTATTTAAAAATATGATTCCAACACGCTACATAAGAACTCTCATGTTTCAAAACAAGAGCCAAAAACTTTAACATAATTATTTAAATTAAATTGAATTAAAGTACTAAGAGAGCTTAGTACTTTATTTCAATTTAATTCAAATAATTATATTGAAGTTTTCGCTCTTGTTTTGAAACATGAGAACTCTTATGTAGCATGTTGGAATCATATTTTTAAATAAATAATTTGTATATATATATATATATATATATATATATATATATATATATATATATAAAGAATTAAGCACGTCAGCGTAAATGATGGTTCCGTATAGGATGCAGGTTCGAATCCTGTCAAAGGACGAATATTTTATATGAAAATTTCTCGGACATTCAGGCCGGTAAATGTTATTTAATACTGTTTATTATAAACAGAGCATTTACTTAAATACTTGTATCTATAAAAAGAATGTTAAACATAAAAAAATATGTCTTTAATAAATTGTCGGACTTTGTCCAATTCTTAATGTATGATGTCATTTGTTTACATTTGATACGCCATGAGCAGTTATGAATGTACGAGATTCATGGAAGATTGAAGTTTATAAGCAGTAAATTTGACCTTGCCTACCGAACGCTCCTTTGTGGCTAAGTCGGTTAAGGCACGTCAGCGTAAATGACGGTTCTGTATAGGATGCAGGTTCGAATCCTGTCAAAGGACGAATATTTTCTATGAAAATTTCTCGGATATTCAGGCCGGTAAATGTTATTTAATACTGTTTATTATAAACAGAGCATTTACTTAAATACTTGTATCTATAAGAAAAATTTTAAACATAAAAAAAAATGTCTTTATATATATATATATATATATATATATGAAAATACAATTCTATACAACTTTGTGGCAATCATCATCTCAGATAATTTCAAATACATTTAGGGTTTTTTTATGGGTAATAATTGGTTTTCTAAGAAAATCTTTTCTTTGAAATTATATTTATTTATTAAACTTAGCTTAGTCAGACATATGGCAAAATGCTAAGAGATGAACTGTGTTTCTTGTCCAGAAAAATCAGCATGTAAAACTGTAGCCTCTGAAAGTAGTGAGGAACAGACACCTACAAGACAAGCCACATTCAAGTTTACAGACTTGATCACTGGGAGTGACTTAAAGCCTGTACATGCATTGACTTGTTGTAATTTTGCTTCTTTTCTTTGAGATATAAGTCAATAAATAATCTTGTCATCTTTCAAGGATCTTATCAGTTAATGTCACCCACTCCCCTAAAAAAAATACTGTACTCATGGGTTTTAACTGAAGAAAGAAAAAAAAATACTTCATCTACAACAAGAACAATGAGATTATTTACAAGTCATTAAAATTAAAAAAAAAAAAATCAAGTTGTGTGTGCTTGTTATATATATATATATTTTTTTTTCAAACAGTTTTATGTTTATACATTCTTTTTATAGATACAAATATTTAAGTAAATGCTCTGTTTATAATAAACTGTATTAACAACATTTACTGGCCTGTCGGAGGACGAATATTTTCTATGACAATTTCTCGGATATTCAGGCCAGTAAATGTTAATACTGTTTATTATAAACAGAGCATTTACTTAACTATTTTATTTATAAAAAAGAATGTATAAACATAAAAATGTTTTAAAAATAATTGTCGGACTTTGTCCATTATATATATATATACACACACACAGACATACACAGGGTGCGATGGATAGATTGTCATCTAAATTATGCAAAAATGAAAATAACTCTGACATCTCATTTTAACAAGATATATTTACCAAAATTACACAAAAATATCTTGAAATACTAAAGAGTAAATTTATTCAATAAAATCGACATTGGTTTCAACAACAGCCTCCAGATGACTTCGGAACCTCTTGCAACACTTCTGGATGGTCTCCTTGTTAAAAATGATGAATGCTGATATAATCCTTGCTTTCATCTTTGGTGTTACAAGGAATTTTATTGGTCTCCCTCACTCAACACACAATAATCAAGGGGGTTGCAGTCTTGGGAGTTTGGTGGCCAGATGTAAGGGGTGATATCACAGAAATTATCTGACAGCCATGATTGGGTTCTACTGCTTGTATGACATGGTGCAGAGTCCTGTTGCCAGACATAGGGTTTTCCAGCAGCCACCCTCTTCACACAGTGCAGCATTACCTCCTCAAGGCACTTGCTGCAGGTCTCCGTGTTGAGTCTGAGTCACTAACCAACAAATTCGGCAGTTCTTTTCTAATCAGAATGAGTTTTCTGAGCTGCTGTACCTTTGTAATCACCATTAGATTAACCCAACTATTTCTGAATCCTCTGCACTGACACCCAAACACTCTGAAATGTTTGTATTTGAGCTTCCTGTGCTAATGCCAAGCAGTACAGCATGCTATTTCTAAATTTATGGCAGAATGAATTGCGTAATGGTGCTGTTTTTCTCCCAGACAGTGCCCAACTGACCCTACTATACTGTGCAGTTGACAAAATCAAAGACAATGTGAATGTGTGAAATTAAAAATATGAAATGGTGACAATTTAGCCATTGCACCCTGTATATATGTGCATACATACACACACAACTTCACTTCTACCACAAAAAAATGACGGTTATATTTATGTACTTTTGCAATGGTTACATTTTCTGCAAAAATAATTTTGAACTTTTATTGACACAATTAATCCTATTGTCATGTGGAAGAAAGAATTGTATTTTTTAAATATATTACAGTTAAAATAGTCACTGCACAATAATAACCTGATCTCTTCTAATTAATAAGATATTCTATTGTTATGGTAACACTAGGCACCTTTGCATATCATTGTTTTTTTGGGGTTTATTTTTTTTTTGCAGGTTCACCTTGAACAAGGCCCAGAGGCCACTCAATGTAGAGGGTTATGTTAAGGTGTAGTTTATATGGATAGGAGGGGAAGATAATGGTTAACCCTACACGTGAACAGGTTAACATTGTAGTGACAAATATATATATACATATATATAATGTATACATGCATATGAGAGAGAGAGAGGGGCACACACAGATGAGGGTGAGCTGAAAAGATCATAGGCTGACTATGAAGAAGTGATGCTGGAGCAGAGAAATATTGCATGCATTAATTTTAACTCTTTATTTATAACACCATTTTTTTCTTTTCAGGTAAACTTACATCTGACTGCAAAGAAGACTCCTGAAAATGGACAAAATTTGGCATTGTGACGTTCTCAAGCACCTGCTGAAAAAGGGTTTAGCCCCCAAGGACATTTGTACTGACATGGTTGCTACATTAGGGGATGATGTTCTAGCTTTATAAACAGTGCAAAAGTGAGCAGCTGAATTTTGGAAGGGAAAGTCTTGAAGATGACCCAAAGTCTGGACATCTTGCAATTAACACCACAGAGAGGTAAGCATTTATTGTTAGAGTTGAGAATATTCTGCACAATGAACTTGTCACAACAAAGGTTTCTGCTCAGTGAGTGCCACATCTTCTGAGACCTGATCAAAAGCACACCAGGTCGATCATATCACTGGAAATCTGACATTGTAGCAGATTCAGCTGGGTTCAAGGAACCCAGTATGAGTGTTGGGTTCATCACTTTGAGCCAAAGGGACAATCCATGCAGTGGAATCAGTCCTCCCCCCTTGCTCCGATGAAGGCCAAAGTAGTTTCATCTGCTGGGAAAGGGATGGCCACAGGCCTTTTTTTTTATTAACAAAAAAAGGGCTATTGAGACTAAACACCCAGGAAAGCTGACAAAAGGGGGTCTTGTTTCATTGGGACAATGTCTCAGCACAAAAGTACTTGGTTTTAATGGCTGTTGTGCATGACTGTGGCTTTGAACTGGTTGATCACAATCCCTACTCACCTAATTTGACTTTTATTTGTACCCAAAAAAATACACTTGGCTGGGAACACAAATTTCAGGATATATATATATATATAAAAGTGAACATTCAAGTCAACACTCAGAGGTGACAGGCTGTTTCATGCTAGAAGCAATCATAAGGCCTGACGATTGCATCTAGCATGAAACAGCCTGTCGCAAACCAAATGTTGATTTCAGTGCCTGCTTTTACATTTATATTTACATATGCTCTATCTCTGATATTGAGCACTTTATCCCATAAATATAGCACACCTTCAAACTATATCTCTTCACACACACACATATATATATATCAGCAATTATATAAGGAAAATCAATGACAAAGTGAAAAAGATTTTTGTGTGACATGTTTTGTCGTTTAGGACTTTATTGGGCTAAAGTGATGTAACTTCACATGCAAATGAAGGAAAGGGAGATGCTGAAATTTGAATCTTTTTTTTTTTTTTTAAATATGTGCTTGGACATATAGTCTGGCCAATATTTGATTTAATTTTCTTTTCCTTTATATTTTTATCACATTTATTATTAAATATCTCACATTGTGATAATAAATCTGCCAAGAAAGGTGAAATGTAAGAATCTGGATGCAAATTTACTGTGATGTGATTAAAGCATTTTCTATACATGTTCATTTTAGTAAATTGCTACCTCTACTAATTAAAGTAGCATTTTTTTTTTTTTTAAATTAAAATTATGGTCAAACTTATTACATTGAGCAACTAATGCACCGAGTGTGCTGTTTCATAAAATATGTTTTTTGTGTTCATATAATCTTTTATTCAAATTCTTTGAGGTTTTTCCTATATATTTCTTGTTGTAATCATTACAGGTGAATGAGTAAATTCTTCCTTCAAGTTTTAGTTTATTATTGCTTTTTTTTTTTTTTTTAAAATTAATTCTTTTATTGTTTCAGAAGTAGCTGGAACAAATTTTGTTAAGATTAGATAAATTCTTTTCAATTGTACTATGATATTGTTGGTTGGTAGAATAATATATTTTGGTTTGTTGGGTTTATCAGAACAGTTCATACTTCTATTTTGAAATATTGTAAAAGCCTTTTTGTTTCACATTGAATATGAAATAATTGAGGTAGTGGAAGAGCTTAAAAGCATTTCCAATGCACTTCTCATCTTCACATAAATATTGAGGGTTTCAACTTCTAGTATATAAAAATTTATATCATTTTCTCCAATATATATAAGTCAGATGAGGTATTGTTAGAAGTTTTAGATTAAAGTATAACAAAAAGCAACTTATAACATATATATATATATACACACAAATACAAGATTTCTAAGTATTTTAGGAGTATCCAGATCAATGCAAACAATTCAAAGAATTGCAGATTTCTTTCCTTTGGAGTCACTGCAATGTTTTTTTTTGTTTTATTTTTACATGTCACATGTCAAACTGGTTTCCTGTATTTATACAATCTAGCTGCATGGATTCGAGCATACTGACAACTGTTATTTCACACCTAATTTTTTTTTTTAAACCAGGACTGTTTTTACCAAGTAATAAATGTCTTGTCTTATCCTGGTGCATGAACGTTGCTGTCAAGACTCCAGTCATAATTTTAATGATTTACTTGATAAAAACATTTTTATTAAGAGAGAAGGCCTGGATGAACTTCCCTCCAAATATGTCGAGCATCCAGAAATATTTAGTTCACTCCCAACAAAGAATCCAATGATGGTTTACTATTGTCATCCAAAATGAACCAGCAGTAGTTGTTAGACATGTTGTTCATGATCATGAAATCCTTAAAACCCTTGCTTGATGCAAATTAAATACCACACTGTTATTTGTTGTTTATGTAAATGTGGATTGTATTTAAAAAAAAAAAAAAAAAGAAGAAAAAATCTTTGTCAAGAAGAGAATTTATGCATTAGTCATGGTACATGCGGTTAAAACATGACCGTTTGGAAAAAGGTAAGGGAGTAGGAAAAGAAATTATATCACCAGATGGTTGGAGAACATACAAATCAAACAATACTGCTAGAAAAAAAAAAAAAAAAAAAAAACCATAATTCAATATACCCATATTACCTACATGTGTTTGCACTGATAAATTGCTATGTTTATTTTGAGATAAATTTGGCATTATAAAGAAAGCATTTTAGATACAATCAAAAGTAATGTCTTAATGATTCATCAAACTTCTCGTTGGATTTGCAAATTTTGTATTTCTTTATTTTTTTCCCCCCTCTTATTGGAATTTCTAGATCAAGGGATAGATACCATATTCAAGATGATAAAAGCATCTCAGCATGTTAATTTCCTGATTAAATATCAAAACTGACATGTATTTAATATTTAAAACATCGAATTTGTTCTAAAGATCTGTAATATTAATTAGAAATTATTACAAAATAATGAAAAGTTTTCAAATGCTTCGCATTACAGAATTTATTTAGTAGCTTACGCTTACTCCACACTAATAGAGGCTGTTTAGGATTTATATAATTTTATCTATTTGAATAATGCTACATGAATATACAATCCACAAAAGATAAAATTAAAAAGATACATATAAACCTACAGAAGAATGACGATCATATCTTTTAGTCTATTCAACATTTGAATAGCAGCTTAACTACAAAGCAAAAAATAATTCATTTCTTGTTGCTTCCTTGCTTAAACGAACAGTCATCTCCCTTTGTTACAAGTCTGGAAGTTTTTGAAAAAAATTTATATCTCTCTCCTAATAAAAATTATTTCTAAATCGATCGTATTGTGATATTTTTTTATGTAGAGAAATATTTATAATCTATTAAAAAACAAAAAAAAAAACTGAGACGTTGTGGAACTAAGCACTTGCATTCAATATTAACTGTTGAATCAGGTAAAACTATTTCCTAATTGATAGGATTTGAGAGAGAAAAGAATGCTACATATATATAAATTTGTTTTTAAAAACAACTTTATTCTGTGTTCCAGGTTACAAACCCAATTTGTACTCCTCATTGCTATACTATATAGAACTGTAGCAGCAAAGTTGGGCAAGTGGAAAACTGCAGCACAAAGTGAATCTATTTAGACATAGAAAAGTTCAAAATATTGGTTAATGTCTAGGTGGTGTTAAATATTTGCTGCCGTTTTCTTTTGCTTGTACTCTGCCATTCGTTCTTCAATTAAAGGTCTAAAATGACGGATAAGGCCCTGAAATAAAAAAAAAAAAAAAAAACATTATCAATAACAAATGCAGAATGATCAGGTTTCATTAGAATATATTATTGTAAACAAATATTTATTTATATCAGGGATTCCCAACCTTTTTTTTTTTTTTTTTTTGCATCATCATCCACTTTCACGTGGAAAAGTTTTTCACTGCTCGTCTGTATAGTAGATATTCAAAAGCATACTAAAATTCTTTGGTAAATGTTTGTTACTGGTTCATAGACTGATTATGATGTAGTAAAAAAAAAAAAAAAAATACCGAAGAGAGGTAACAAATAATACTGACTTAAATAGCTGCTGCTACCATATTAAAGCAAACTTAACCATTAAAAACATATATATATATTTATGGTTAGTGTTGACAAAAAAAAAAAAAAAAAAAAAAATTAAATGATTTTTGTTCATAATTATAAAATTAATATACACTAGTAGAAACTAATAAAAATTCAGCAAAATTTTTTTTTTGTTATTGGCCTTCCTTTATCTGATTTATACATGAGAAAAAACAAATTATTCTGTCTAAAGAATTATTTGAATGTTAATGATCCTTCACAAAACTATAGAAAATACCAAAAGATTCATTGTTTATGGGGATATTTATATCTAGGAATGTAATCCAGATATTCCCATTTAGCCTCCTGTTTTTTTAATACATGTTCTTTGCATATTTTTTCTCTCAGCTAGCATATGTCAAAATAACTTTCACCCATTAATTTCTGAAACCCTAACTTAAAGTTTCAATATACTTTCCAATCAATATTAGGACAGTAAACCACTGATTATAAGTCTTTAGAATCAATGTAAGTAATTTATAATTTGCTCTAGAGAATGATTTTTTTTTCTATGGAGTTTGTGAAAACTATTTTCACGGTGCTTTGTCGTGAGATGAACATCTTCAAGTTAAAAGGTCAATCATTATCTATCCTCATAAACTTCACTTCAAACCAATTTCTCTTTCATTCATCAAACTATCTTAGCAGTAACACTCTCGGGCCTTGTATCAGGTGAAAATTATTAAAAAAACAAAAAAAAAAAAATCAGTAACTTACCTGAACAGGCCAGGCTGCACCATCACCAAGTGCACATATAGTGTGACCTTCAATCTGTTTGGTAATTTCATACAACATATCAATCTCTTCTGGATGTCCATTGCCAGTAACTGTAAATAGAAGCAGCATGCATTTATATATGTAAATCACACTTATATAGTATACAATCATTACATATTTCTTATTATTAAGCAATAGATATATGTAGTCTTAGCATACATTATATAATATACACTGTTGATGAGGCTCATTAATAAACTGCTGCTTCAACTACATTTTAATTACTTCCATAAAACCTGTATAATGTTAAAACCTGTATTTTGTTAAACAAAAAAAAAATTGCTAAAAGTAAAATAATCTTTTAACAATTTTAGGAAGATACTATTTTCATGGAGTGTGTGCAGGTGGCATGGTTGTGCATTTTATTTTGTATGAATGTTCTTGAAAAAATATGAATTATCTCCCCAGCCATGGGTTACATAGTAGAAGAGCCAGTCTAGAACAGTTGAATTCATAACTGTGAAGAAGGTAATAAGAACACCCCCCACCCCCGAGCCCAAATAGGCGGGTTATAGGATATTTAAACATTAAACAGTTAATGATAGTTGGACAGAAAGGAAATCTTTTCAGATGATAGTAACAATCTACTGTTACTTTTTCAGGAAATGTCTCTTTAGCCAGAAATAATTACTGTTGAATCTAATGATTTAATGCTGGGTTGAAGGGAACAGAAAGGAAACAGTGAAACACTCATTGAAGTAACCTTACATAATCATCACACAGCAAACAGAAAAAACAAAAAAAAAAACAAAAAAAAAAACGGGGGTTTGGGAGAAGTTTGTCAAAAATATTCACCAAAACGAGCCATCATTTTTTGCATCCAAGCACATCCTTCCCGACATGGAGTACACTGAAAGAAAAAGGATAATAATTAGGAAGAAACAATTATATCATTCCCAAGATGAACAGATGGAATTTTCAAAGAGCCTGTTTCTAACGTACTTATACGATTATAAACGATTACCTCCCTTGTATCATTTACAGCATCCGGTCTTCATTTATCAAGACAGGTGACAAATTTAGCAGGGAAGTTTTGCAAGTCATTCAGTTAATTTATCAAAGCTGGCTTCATGCAAGAAAATATTTATCGTTGTCATTAATAAATGGACTTTTTTAATGGCAGTCTGAATATTGTTTAATTATTTTCATTTAAACTCGGATATTTCCTTAAAACAAAGATTAATCTTTCCATTCTTGATCAATCATATTTTGATTGAATTCATACAAAACAGTAAACAGTAGATGGAGTTTATAGTCTACTATTTTCCTTTGTTTTAAACGTGATTTTAAATCAAATTAATCCTCAATGTTTTAGCATCTCTATATGATAAATCTATACTATAATTCTGTATGTGCAACTGCCATACTTTTCTACCTAGAATTAAAATGTAGTGTTTGAATGATTTGTACTTTCTAACAGACAAATCTACATAATATTAAATTGAAAAGAATTTGGCTAAGCAAGAGGGAAGAGGAAAGAATTGAAGAGGGTTGAAAGGAAGGTGGCTAGAGAATAATGAAAAATATATGTACATATATAAGAGAGAGAGACAATGAGTAAAAGGCAGATAGGGATGGAAAGTCTTTAGGAAGAGACAAATGCAATACAAAATATTTGTATATTCCTTATCCACATCTAAAACTCATTCAGGTTTGTTGCCTATTATATAAATATTATACAAAGACTAAGGTTTAAGGGAGAAAATGAGAAGATACAGGCAAAAAGCCGAAGTAGGAAATAATGGATACTCTTACTAGTCAACTCACATGGAATTTTCATGGATCCAATTCATAATTAATTATTCTTACAAATGCAATTTTAAAAAAATTAATCAAACTTGCAGACCGATATATCATGAATATTTTTTGCATTTTTAGAACAAATCTTAATTTATTGCAATTTGCATCATATATACACAAATTAATAAATATCCTTTCTTTTTACAGGGTGGAAGTTATGAGGAGAATCTGATATTCAACAAAATTTCCAGATCTTCAAATTGAGACTTACCTGTCCACAACTCTCATGTTTATAGAAATCAGCCAAACGTGATATACAACGGATCACATCTGCCGATTTATTCATCACAATCACAGCAGCAGTCCCAAGACCAGTTCCAGCTTGAATTAAGCTATCAAAATCCATCAAGACCTCCTCAGATTGTCTTTAAAAAAAGAAAAATTAATGCACAAATATGTAAACATATGCATATGAAAATACTTATCTATCTTAAAAGTGTTTATTAATAACCAAATTAATATTTTTTTTTTTTTTTACAGATTGAGACATCTATCAGAGAGATGAAATTAAAATTTTTATTATTGCATTATTCCAAAATTTTAACACATCAGCAGATAGCTATTAATGTCAACAACTGAGCACAAATAGTTATTAATTAAAAAAATTAATAATTAATGTATATTATCCATAATTACATGTATAAGAGTGTTGTTTTCGATAAAAGTTAAACCATAAATACGTAAAAAAATGCATATATTGTCCAAAATTCCTTTTTCCACAATATAGCTATTTGTGCTATTACCTAAACAATAATAATACTGAATATTTTTTTTTAAAACAATATATTTAATCACATCTCCCTAATAGCTGTCGCGATCTGTTAAATAGCAAGTGAAAACATCCTTATACCAATGTTCAATATTATTATAATGGAAACAATTTCAAGTATGTTTAGAAGTACAGAAATAATTATAAAAACAGGAAATAAATTTAATTATTTAAGTTTTTATAAAATGGATTAGATTATAAAATTAAAATTGCACATTAAAAAAAAAATCTTATTCCACTAGTTAACACACAATATGAAATTTGTCACATGAAATTTTTCATATATTCACTGTCTTTTTCAAATGTTAGCAATATAAAAGTAAGTGTTAGAAAAATGAAAAAAAAAGATTGATGCTAATTTATGACGTGCCCAGACACAGTATAGCTCAACTTGATTTAATTAAATGTGGCTGAGGCAGCACTTGTATAATTCATATTCTAACAAGGCATGCAATCCATAATAATGAAATGACTTGGAAAAAGATTTTTTTAAACTTACACAGATTTTCTCTACTTGTATTGAGAAACTCTAAGTGGGTGGAGAACTTGTATAAATTTAAATTAATATGCATAATCTATCAAGGGAGCAAATTTTTGTCATAATCAGTTGTATGCTTAAGAGAACATTTGACACAATGTACATTTATATATTTGTCAATCACATACTCTAATTTTATTAGGGAAATATTCTTTTGTTAAAAAGGTGTGTGTGTGTGTGTGTGTGTGTCTCTCATATATATGTGAAAATATATAGAAAATAGGAAAGAACTAGTTAGGTAGATCCAAAGTTCCTTAGTATTTTAGTTATTATTTTTAAAAAATAGTGCTCGATACCAATGTAGAGCATAAATATAATTTTTAAATAATTATATATATATATATATATAGCTTTCATTGAAGATGATTGACAAGGCACTGTGATTGAGATTTTTATTTTTTTTTCTTGCATTTGTACAAGTGATTTCTTTTCTGGACAAAGATCATGTCCAGTAAAGAAAGATTTTAATGGCTATTTTTATTTTTTTTTTCAATAAATCACTAACTTTTCTTCATTTATTGAATTTTCTATTATCATTATTACTATATATATATATATATATATATATATATATATATATATATATATATATATATATATATATGTGTGTGTGTGTGTGTGTGTGTTCACATAAACGATGATAGGTATTTTTGGTTATTGCATGCTTTAGCATTCAACCGCTCAAACCCACCCTGTAAATATTGGTGCTCAATGTTCAACCTGCCTTAACACGACAACATCATTGCAAATAATGCATGAAGTCATATAAACAGTGAAACTTTGAGAGCCGATATTTACAGGGTGGATTTAAGCGTGTTGAATGTTCAAGGGTTAATTCAGTAGTTTGGGTTTCCCAACTACAAATTAGAAAAGTAGTAATATATATATATATATATATATATATATATATATATTTATTCCAAGTTTCATTTCATTTTAGTTCATATGGTTATTTAATATTTTCTTAAAATAATAAAAAAAAAAAAATATCTTTCTTTTTTTTTACTTGATGAAGGTTAACATTAGGCTTAAAAGGTACTTTGTAGTTATCACTACATTACTTGAAATGCCACTAAAAATAAAACAAATTCTAATTAAAAGGAAAACATTTATTACCTAATAAAACAAACCCATTAAAACTGGTTCACAGAGCTGATATCAAAAACATGAACCTTGCAGATGTAGTTAGGAACATACCACATGACTAGTGAATATACTTTTCTAACCAATCAGATACAAGATAAAAACCTTTTTCTCTGGAGCCTATGCACTGACTGGTTTTGCTATAAAATAACTTTTCAAACAAGGAAAAAATCGGTTTTCATTTGGTAAATCTACTAACACTTGTAAGTCAATAGCCATTGAGAATATTGGCTAACTTGCTGAGTTTTCTCAAAATTACAGAAAGTTATTTTATACATTTTTTAAAGCATAAAAATATTGTTAAAAACTATTTAAAAAGGTTGTAGTAATATTGTGAGATCACCTCACCACTTTAATGCATTTCTATTATGAACAAAAGACCCAACAATGATGTTAGTAGAAATTCTTTTGTAACATTTTCAATTAATTTCTACTCAATTAAAACATTGTTTCTTACTTTTTTGTCAAGAGTGGAGTAGATGATCCTCCGGGAATAATAGCAAGAAGATTATCCCAGCCACCAATGACACCACCAGCATGCCGTTCAATGAGATCTTTTAGGGGGATAGACATCTCTTCCTCAACGGTGCAGGGGTTGTTAACATGACCAGAAATATTGAAAAGCTGCAAAGAAATAAAAAGAAGCCAAAAATCTATAATCATTAAACAACTCTTTGTTCATACAAAAATTTATGTACCAATCTGATTACATGAAAATTTCTCTCTTCTTCCAAAGACTTAATTCATATTTAACGTACTTAATTCTAATCATTACCTTTGTGCCTCGGTTTCTGTCTCTGCCAAAAGAAGCAAACCATTCACCTCCTCGTCTGCAAATTGCCTACAGATATAAAAGTAAAAAAAAAAATTTTTTTTTTTTTAATGATTATAAATCTCTAAAATAGTTAGTAAAGTTATTTACATCTTTTAATGACAAAAAAGACAAAAACAAAAAAATTATGACGTTTAACTTACAGGTGATACAGCAACAGTTTCAACATTAGAGACCGTGGTAGGGCAGCCAAAGACTCCCACATCAGCTGGGAATGGAGGTTTGAGGCGAGGTTTTCCTTGTTTGCCTTCCAAGGATTCAATCAAGGCCTTTAGAAAAAAAAAAAAAATAAATCATGATATATTCAGTTGACTGAAAAAATAAAAAAAACAATTCCAGGCTTGCATAAGGGCTCTTTTCTTGTAGCAATTAGAATTCTATTTGTAAAAGTCATAAAAACAAAATTAATTAGAGAGACAATAATAGCATATGTGATAAAATCCCATTCACTTACAGTCATCTTAAAAGAAATTAAGACAAGAGAAAATTTAGCAAAAGTTAATCCAACTTTACACAAATAGCCATTTTAAGAACAATCAACAGATTCAAAGAGCTCATATTTTCTTTTCATTTTTTAAATATTTACATAATTCAGATGTAGCAATCTTAAAAACAATATTTTTAAAAATCCATTTTAGTAAGAGTTAATTCATAGCACTGGGCTTGGAATTTCTCTCAGAGTAGATTTAAATTTTCTGAAATAAGTGAAATAGTAATATCATACAAAAATTTTGTGAAATACATCTGTTTGATGTTTTGGCACACATGATTAGTAATGTTTTTAGCTGAGATTCATTAAGGATTTGGGATCTTTCAACATCATACCCACTCTCCATGTCCCAGCTGATACTGACTGGATATTGACTTGTGTGCCATTTGTACTACAACTTTCCTCATTTTTAATAACACACTGTGACTCCTCTTGGCAATTAATAGGAACAGCAGGAGGAATATATACATATATTAATATAAAAAATAATGAAAATGAGAAAATTGGCAGTCAATATGGCTCTGAAACTTGGACACTTTATAGATAGCACATTCAACAATTAGAGATCTTTCATAAAGGTTGTCTCCATACAATCTGTGGTCTAACATTTGATGTTCGAGTGTCAAATGCCGACCTTTTTGAGAAATTCTAGATTGGTACCATCGAGACCTTCATAATGCAGTCACAACTACATTGGGATGGACATGTAGTAAGGATGAGTGATGATTGCATACCAAAAGTTCTTTTTTACAGTGAACGCCATAATGGTCATAGAAATGTTGGTAGACCTTGGCTCAGGTGAAAAACGGAAAAGCAACCTTTCTTGCATCAACATACCATTCAAGAACTTTGAAGAGATAGCTATGAAGAGATCAGAGTATCATTCCAGTTGCCATTCAGGAATAATGCACCATCAAGAAGTAAGCATCAGTTGACTGCATGAAACACGAAAGCAAAATAAGACAGCTCACAGTGTTCCTGCTGCACTTGGATACAATACATTCTCCTGTACTGTTTGTGGTCTTTTGTGCAATTCCCGAGCCGGTCTCAAAAGTCATGCCCATCATAGGCATGCAGATAATTAGTTTGTGGTTGTTGGAACCTCATACATCAAACTCGATGGGAGAGTCCATCATATATATAAATCTCAAAAGAGCCTAAAGAGCAGGGATCAATAATTCTAAAACAAAAACAATAGAGGAAAAAAAAACATTTTAATGGACAGAGTTTAATTAAATGTGTGTAGAATTAATATTTGCTAATTACTGAGTAGAAATTAGCAAAAATAAAGGTTAGAGATCTTCTGTTTTTAGGGCTAACTTGTGTTTTAGTGCGAGAAAAAAAAAATGATGCTACTATAGCGTGAGGTCTACCTCCCGTTTCACATGTTCAGAAAATGTGAGACAGATATAAATATCCATGTTAGACATCACCTGATCTGATGAACACGACACATTTAGGTAGACATTATAGTAGCACTAAAAAAAACAAAAAAACATACTTACTGTTTCTTCCCCACATATATATGCACCAGCACCCCTATGTACAAAAACATCAAAATCATAACCAGATTCACAAGCATTTTTGCCAATTAAGCCAGCTTCATAGGCCTGAAAGAGAGACAAAAAATAATTTATAGTCTATCGTAACTGATGTGGCTCAAACAATTTGTGACAATGTTTAATCATAAACCTGCAAAAATAATGGTAATGTCAAAAGGATGATTTTTCTCTTGACACTGCTATTACTGGAAACTACCTCAGCCACGTTTATTGTTTTAAAAAGCCATGTTTAGAATTTTAATAACAAAAAATAAAAATGTTACAAACTATTTAGTTTTATTTGGATTATTTATTTACAACATTATAAAAATATATGAACTAACTACAATGCAATATTTATCATTTACCATTTTATAAAAAAATAAATAAAAAAATTTTTTATTCATAAATTTATTCAAATAAATACATAACAATAAGTAACTAATTAAAAATTGAGAAAATGCATTTTCCAGGCATTTCTTTCCTTTGTTCTCACCACAATAAATTGCGAGCAGCTCTTCTTCTAAACCATTCTTTTAATTTTATATTCTAGGTGAGACCACAAACAATATTTCGAGCATTGGGTGAACGTGGTTTTCATTGTGTATAATTACAAAATGTCTGAAAGTAATCTAAGAAAATGTATGTCTGGAAAAATTATGTGTTTATTTAAATTTTCTTGTTCTATAGTGTACAATTTTTATAAAAAATTTACTTTCATATTTCTTTATAAAATATTAAATAATGAATTGTAGTTTCCCACACAATCTTGTAAATAATCGAGCAACAAAATAGTATGTAATGTTTTTGTTGGTTATTAAAACAATAAACATAGTCAAAGGAGTCAGTGGTGTTAAGAAAACAAAACAAAAAAACAAAAAAAAAAAAAACACCCTTTTGACATACCATTTTTAGCCGGATTGAAGGTTAAGCTTTGCCCAACTTGCCTTGTTCTTTTTGTCATGCTATAGGCAATTTACAATATATTTTGTACTTTTATGTTTTTCCTGTTACTGAATATATTAAAAATATTAATAGTGTGATTTCATTTTATGTGTGTAAATAATGGAAAAAAAAAAAAAAAAAAAAAAAAAAAAAAAAAAGTTTTTCTTCAAAAGCTGTTTTCTGAACTCTATACAAATATTGCAAACATTTCTGGTTGGAAAACAAAAAATGTATGTTAGAAACTTGTTAGATAAAAAAAAGAAAGAAGTATAATTTCAAACAAAAGTAATAAATGAAAATGAAGTTGGGATCTTGTTATTTAAAAAAATGATTTTTAATTTGATACAATGTTTTTTAAATGTACAAATGGTTTACTTCACTTTCATGAAGAATAAAATTTATGAAAAATTCTTGAAATTTGTCCAAGCAGCAGATATTCCTGCAGATACCAAGTGATTAAAAATGATCAAACTTTTGTCTTGTCTTCTAAGAGTTTGACTATTTCACTAACAAAAATGTTAAAAGGTTAATTAAATAAGTTTTATGATGTTACACATACATGATTATCACAACAATTTAAAAATTTTTAAAAATTGTTGTGATAATTAGTAAATAATGAAATATGGCAAATAGAAATTTGTTGCCCTCCCTCCTGCCACCAATTAGTAGCTTCCCTCTGCCTTTTCTATAAATAATTTCATGGCAATTGTTCTGACTGGCTTTCCTCTTTGATACCTAGACTTCATGAATTTAAGCATAGTACTAGACTTGAAGATAGGTCTCATCATTTTACTGTTGAAATTGCTAAGTATGACTGTAAGTTCTATTTTTTTATTGTTTCTTCTCTCTCACTTCTTACCTGTGGAACTCTCTTCCAGGTTCTTGCTTTCCTGTCAACTACAATCTTCAAAAATTTAAATACAACATTAACCATCATGTCTTTTTGAATTCTGCTGTTCTTTTATTGTCCTTTCTACTCAATGTTTTTTAAGTTTCTTATACTCTCAAGTAATCCCTTGCACCTTAGTGGCTTTATTGTCTGGAGTTAAATGATTAGAAAAGAAAAGTTTTTGTATGTGCCTATATCTCTCATTGACTTAACACAATATGGTAAATTTCACTTTATGAGAACTTGTACACTTTTTATAGTGAAAAAAAAAAAAAAAAATGATGAAAATAATATTGGGCTTAACAGCTGGTAAAAATATAAAATAGTTATATTCTTACTTCATTAATAGCAACCTGCAAGGCAGAAGCTTCATTGTAGAACTCTCCTCGAATATAAATGTAAGCTGAAACAGAAGGGATGTGATGTGAGTAAAAAAAACAAACAAAAATAAAACATTCAAGACAAAAGATTTGGTGGCATATTAATTGTGAGTTCATTTCCAGTAACTCAAACTAGGTGGAAACAAGACTAATAGCTGAGCAATACTAACAAAAAAAAAAAAAAAAATCATTAGACATGCTCTTTAAATATTATTCATGTTTACGAAAGAGGGGCCATTTTTCAAGAAATTCAGGGTTACTGCTAATAAGCCTTTTATTTTAATTAGTATTTTTTTCAAGTTTTATTACAAGAGAACCTGTTTCTTTTTTTTTTTGTATTGATTACACATCGAAATAAAGTATGTAAAATTATTGCTTATTATCTGTTAAGTAGCTGTACAAACGAATACCTGCTCTGGCTCCCATGGCTCTTCCACCAATAAGGCAACCTTCAACTAGTTTGTGAGGGTCACATCTCATGATCTCTCTGTCTTTGCATGTACCTGGCTCTCCCTCATCAGCATTCACCACCAAATATTTAGGTCTGAGTAAAAAAAAAAAAAAAAAAGATTGTAAAATGATACAATTAATCCATTTGTAAGATTTCACTGAATGCATTTCGAATATCTTTGTTTGAAAAAATAATTTTTGGCACTAAGAAGGTTAACTGGCCCACTCATAGAAAAACAGGAAAAATTATTTTGGGGAAGAATTTTTGTAGATTAGTATTCATTAGACATTGTTCTACTCACAAAATTTATCAGGATTGAAAAATATAGACATATTTATTTTACAGTAACCTTTATTTTTATTAATTTTAGTTATAATATAAATAGTGACCTGACTTTTTTGAAACAACTGTCCGCACTTGGTTTTTAATTATGTCTCCACAGTTTATCTCCTTCATTTCTATCACAATTAAGGGAATTTTAAAATTTTAACTATATATATATATATATATATATATATATATATATATACACACACACACACACAATCTCATTCGTTTGTTCTTTATTTAAAATAATTATCCCACTATGTTTGGAAAAGTGCCTCGGAAATAAAGCCAAGAAGGAAATCTGTTCCACTAGAACACATTTATTAAGAATTGGAGGAGGAAAATTCTTAATGATAGGATTCATTTAAGATAAATATTTATTATCCCTTGCTAGCATCTCTGAAAAAAAAAGTAAAAGTTTGTAAATAAAAGCAAAGTACACATAACTCTTTAAAAAGAGTCAGGGATTAATTTGACACTATTTATATCATGAACTGGACTTCTCTTCTAACATGATAAGACACAACAACCAGTCTAAACTAAGAAGGTCTTACTAAAAGATAATTGTGCCCCCCACAGAAATCAAACCTGCATCACTTTCTTCCATCAGGGAAGCCACTTTTTAAGCCATGGGGACAGGGCAAGGTTTGAATAAACCTATTAATGAAGATCATTTTTCATGTTGTGGCTTCTGCAAATCTATATCTGCCAGCTTCAGTTTCAGGCCTAAAACACAATTAAAACAGTAATTTTTCAAAATGATTTTTCATCCAATATTCTTATTACTATAAATGTTATTTTTATTATGTGAGTTGCTATAAAGAAAAAACAAAACAAAATAAATGACAGGGATAGCAACTCTGTGGTGAACACAGGTCAGTCTAGACACAAAAGAGGCTCTGGATAGCATGCAGATATGTCTGTCAAAACCAGTTACAATTGGGTTTTCCCAGTTAGCAGATTTGGGTATCTGTCAGTGAATTTTTGTTGCTAAAAATGATGAGGAAACCAGCAATAAGCAGTGAGTAAGACTTGTTGTCTTGTGAAGTTGGTTCCGTGGACATTTTGTTCCTAAAGTTGCAGTGAGGCAGTGTCATTTTATTACCTCTTGTCTCATTTTCTTTCTCTGCCTATTACCTCCATAGCGGCTGGGAGAGCTATTGTTTCAGTGTTTTCCCCAACCTCAATACACTTTTGCTGTAGTTTACAAACAAATTCAAAAACAGGTACCCACTAAAAATAACATTTACAGTAATAAGAAATGTTGGAAAAAAAAAATCATTTAAAAAATTAAGTTTATATATAAAATAAAATTTTTTTTTTTTTTTGAATACACTAACTTTGCTACTAGGATTCACATTTTTCTATGTTCAGTCAAAGTTGAGCCCATTCTCTAAGGCATGTAAGACCATCATGCTACATACTGTATTATTATGAGGAGACTATCTTCAGCTGTGTATACTTAGATAACTTTTGTACCATGATAACTTTGCAACATGATAATGTTTCTGCTGCACAAACTGAGCTTACTATCAATGGCTTGACAAAATAAAGTACGCAAACCCTTGTACTGCCAAGACAACTCCAGATTTACTCCTTCCGATCATACAGTCAATGTTTTATTTAGAAGATATCAGAAGTAGAATAGTAATGGTAAGATTAGCCGTTTACATGCAGGAAACATTCAGCATTCAGTGACTGAGTAGTCAGTGTTATTGTTGGTTGAAATTTATTTCTCTTAAAACAGTTTTTCAAGAAAATAGATTTTTTCAAGTTCACAACTTTATTATGTTTAGGATTGGAATTCTGGTTCCTTCTAAATTCTACTTCAACTCTATACTTCTAACATCTCTGCTTAAAATTTGAAATTTTATTTACCATTTTTTTTTTCTTTTTCTTCATTAGGTGTAGATAGGTTTGTCTATTGTTGGGTTCACACTCCTCCTTGGAGTAGATGTTTATCCCTCGTTTAGGATTGGGTTTCCAGTTCCTTCTAAAGTCTTTTTCATTCTCTTTCATGCCCAGTAGCCCCTAGTGTCTTAGTGGCATTATCGTTTTGATTAAAAATAAATAAATAAATAGATATTATTATCTTCAAATTACATGTGCTATCCATTTTAGTTGTTGTTACTTTTGGAAGTCTTCAATTGATGTGGTCTTTATTATAGTTATTTATCTGTGATTCTCTATCACCAGTCTTCCCTAAGAGAGTTCACTTGCTTGGAGACATTTTTAATCATTAATCCGAGAAAACAGTTGTATATAGATGATAATTTAGACATTCCTGAAGGAGTTGGACACCATGTACAACAATTATACAAGAGACTAAATCTGATGAAGCTATTTAAGAACAGTTCTTAAGTTAATATTTCATTTTATAGCATGTTGGAACAAAATTATCTCTAGCTTAGCTTATACTAGTCTAAATATCCTTATCTGCTATACTGAATTTGTTATAACTGATGCTACAATGAAATGAGTGTAGATTAAACATCAGTCAGTTATGTGCCATGTGTGATACACGCTTAGGCAATCATGTATCTTTTGATACATGACTGACGAGGCAGATTTTTTCCCCGCAGTAGGTTGCCATTTCTTTCTGCAGTAGACCAGTTGCCATCAAAGGCTATAGAACCTAGTCTGTCCTATTTACCCATAGCTGGGGAAAAAAAAGAAGTGGATTCATACCTTTCCCAAAGATATTAGTATGAAATTCAAACTCGGCTCTCCGATTCCTCAATCCGAGCCACATTACTCCACTATGCCTCCTTTTAAACATGGGTTGTCTTATTCTAGCAGACAGAAAGAAAAATGACTGGGGCAAAAGAAAAAATAAGAAATTTTAAATTTCTTGTTCTGCCCATGCTTTTATATGCAATCATTTGACAGTAACTTATATATATATATATATAAAACATACACAATAAGATAACCCTTGAGAAGATAAAAAATCAAGTTGCATCATAATGGGTAGTCATATTCAATGGAATTTATATAGTTAAAGAATGTAGAGGCATACAGAAAATGAGGGAAAAAAAAAAAAAAAAAAACAAACTCTGGTTATCTCACAAAATAACATTTCCTTTCTTGATTGCAATACATTCTAATTATGTGATAGCCTTTAAAGGCATAGAAAATTATGGTCTCGACAATTTCCAGTTTTTTGTTGTTCTAAATAACTTTTACTCCATTACTACCCCCTTTGGCCTTGTTTTCAAAATTGTTAACTACTTATTAAAAGAATATGACATAACAGCTTTACATCATTAATTGATACATATTTTATGTCTCCATAATGATGTAAGTAATGAATATTTTCATATTCATGGATTTCAACCTAACAAAAATATTGCCTAATATAGAAGTTGATTTCAAAGTTTTTGTTTAAAATATGTTTTTTTACCTTTTCCAGACTGAATTTTATTTCTAAATTTAATCAGTTTTAAGACAAACTCAATTTGTGTGTTATATACATGATTTAATTCTTTCTATGATATATACAGAATAGAAGAAGCAACTGAAAAGTCAATAATATTACACAATACAAAATGTGATGCTTTACTTCCCTTTCATTTCTTCAAATACCCTCTATAGTTTGGTAGAATTATGTTCAAGCTTACTCATGAATATTTGATTTTGGTTGTTTCCATGAAAATTTCCATATTGGGTTTGGTTAGCTAGATTCAGTCAGACTGACTGAAAAGAATTAAAACCCAATTTATCCATCAGTACACATACTTCAATGGTATTTTGAATAAACATGGGAAATTATAGTAAGATCTTGATTTAAGGAACTACTTGTGGATCACATGGGTCATAATGAACTGATATTTTATTTTTACTGAAAGAAGTTAGATAAATTCTAGAATAAATCATATGCTGAGTCCGTGTTACGCTACTAGGTAGATATCAACCTTGTTAGCTGGAAAGGAAAAATATTGCTGATTTCAATAGTTTTTATAGACAATTTTCACTATAAATAATAAATACTACTTGACAACTGTGTGTGAGTATGTGTGAGAGAAACACCTGTCTCACTGCTTTGGTTGTTTAATATATAGCCATAGTCACTGGGTTTTAAAAGCCAGTGTTGACAACTGTTAGCATAGTACCCATCAAAAATATATTTGAATCTTTGGAAATTTTCTTATCTTTGGTTATGAGTACAAAGTAAATTATTGTGCAGATTACATTTACAGCACCATTTCTAAAATTCCTCTCAATATGAGCAAAGAAAATTATGTACAATTGCTTTCTTTGATATTTTATACAGTTTTAGATAACATTTTACATTTGTGTACTGAATGTTTTGGATTTAATAAAACAATGTTCATTAAATGCAGTGATCTATAGAATAGGTCTTTTGTTTACGGAATGAAGGATTTATCGGATTTCAGGGTTACTCTTTACCCCAAGTAGTTCTTTAAGTCAAGGTTTTACTGTAATAAAAATTGGAAGAAATAAATGAGCACCTCTTACCTGCCATCTGATGGCTTATTCATGAATCCCCATTTCATACCAGTGGGAAAGCCAGCACCTCCCCGTCCTCTCAAGCCAGAAATTCTTATTTCATTTAGGATCCATTCATGACCTTTCAGGATAATTTCTTTTGTTTTGTACCAATCACCCTTTTAGAAAAATAAAGTATAGATTAGAAAACCACATCAACCAAAAGATACATATTCAACATTTGAAACAAATATTTGGTTTTATATGGACTTTTTAAATTTCCTATATATTAGGTTGGAAAGAAAGCCTTGTTGCAATTGAAGATAGAAAAGAAACAAATGCTTCAGATGGAGCTAAGTCAGGAGGATGAGGTAAACCTGCCATATTTAGTTTAGCACCATAATTTTCTCCTGAGTAACTTGGGCAATATGTGGTCTTGTATTATAATTTAAGAGCAATATGCCTTTACAGTTAAATAATGATGGACATTTTTTTAAACAAATCTTTGTTCAATGCTTCTAAATGACAATTATTCTCTGCATTAACTCATTCATTTTGGTTTAGCACTTCAGGTTAGATGACATCCTTTGAATCTGTCTATATTTCTGAGATGAGGTATTATGTACACTATTTACATTATTTGGACTATTGTCACCATATTTATTACAACGTTTCGGCCGTTGTATGCTCCAGCCTTCTTCAGGTGGTTGGAATGTCGAACTGAACCCTTTATTTCACTCAGGGACACATGGCACTGGATAAAGGCGCTAGTTAGATCCAGTGACAGGACCCAAAGAATGTGAGTTCAATACCTGGTTAAAGGCGGTGGTGATGACAATAGTCTGAATAATGTAAATAGTGGACATCCTTTGTATTCTATCAACTTTTTGGGTGTAATCCTGATATGGAGATGGATTCTTTTTTCAATGAGTGCCAATGAAGATGGAGGTGCATGTAGAATATCATTTATCAATGTGGAACTGATTGTCAAGTTCAAATTCCAACTGAAGCCATCATGTTTACCTTTGCACAAATATCATTGGAAAGGTATGAATCCATCTTTTCTGCCCCAGCTAAGGGTTAATAGCAGAGTTAGCTTTGATTGGTAACCAATCTAGAAAAAGGACAACTCTAAATTCAAAACCAATTGGGCATGGGACTAGAAACTCTTCCCATAAAAACAAAAAAAAAAAACTTAGTTGCTATGGAAACCACAGCAGCAATGCCTAACATGGTGATGCTGTGGCCATATACTCCATACGAGGAGTCTACAGGGTTAACATATATGTCATCTGAAGACTGGGTTAATATTAAAGCTTTTATTATTCTTATATTAAATTTTATGTACCAAGATATAAATTACAGAGAAAATGTTCTGACATTGCATACAGTTGAGGTATTTGTTTTGAAAATAAAGCTGTCAAAAAGAATGAATGAAAAATGAGGTTTTGGAAGAATTGCAACATCAATAAATAAGGATAAAAGGTAAAGACAAAAATCACATTTTACATTACAATCTGAATAAATTTATTCTAAATAAAAAGCATTTAATTTTGCATTTAATAAATATACAGGATAACCCCCAGAAAACTTTAATGCCTCCAAAACAAAACTGTTTTCATTTAACCACCATAGACAACCTTTTCTGCCTGCCATCAGCATGGCTGATACTAGACTCCAGGAGAGCAACAAACTGTTGCCTTCTTAACCTCACAGACTTGAAGTGGAGTGACTATGTTGAATCAATAGCTGCATCTACTGCAAGGAAAGTTGGGTCACTGTGTTGTGCCAGGAAATTTTTTCTTCTTGCACATTTACAAATCTACCATTTGTCTGTGCATTGAATACTGCTGCCATATCTGTTCTGGTGCTCCTGCCATACATTAAAATTCTTGACAAAATCCAAAGAAGGATCTGTAATGTAATGGATACTGACCATGCATCTCAACATCAGTCACTTTCTCACCAACATGGTGTGACTTCCCTCTGTCTTTTGTAAAAATATTTTCATGGTAACTGCTCTGATGAGCTTTTTCCCTCTGGTGGCCCGACTACATGAATTTAAGTGTGGTACTAAATTTGCATCTAGGTCCCGCCCTTTTACTGTTGAAATAGCTAAATGCAACTACTCCTACTACTTAGTTTCTCTTCTTGCACTTCCCACCTATGGAACTCCCTTACTTGCTTACCTGATGACTACAATCTTAAAAAATTTAAATGCAATGTCAATCACCACCATTTACCTTCCTGTTCATCTTGTCATTTCTTCAATCCTCCCTATTCTCAGTCTTCTCTTTCACTTTGACTGTAGCCCTCTATATACTAATGGCATTCCCACCTTGCTTAGGGTGAAATGATTAAAAAAAATAAATTTCTACACACACCAGATCAATTGTATTACTGATTTTCTTTTGGTTATTTGATAGAGGAGAATTTTATTTTCCACAGGATAGAGCCCCTTTCCTTTCACTATGATGTCAGGTTTTATTTGAATGAAATATTTCCAGGCTGATGGCTTCAATTGAAGAAACCTGTTTACTACAAAGATGTTAATTAATATTTGCAACTCAATTTTTTAACTATGTGAGCTATTTTCATTTGAAAGGACATTTTGAATGTTTAAAATAAAGCACCATTTAAACATAAACCTCTGAATTTTACAAAAATCCTATATATAGTGTTTAATTAACTTTTAATAACAATAGCTGATAACAAAATGTGATTACATTTTGGTGGGGCTGCTCTGTATTCGTATGTTTTGAAAAAAAAAAAAAAAAAAAAAATCTAAAAATCAGATAATGGAATTGAATGAAATTTTATATTTATTTATGGGTTACCAAAGTTATTTTTGAAAAAATTAATTACTTTTTTTTTTACTTAAGTAAAAACTATACCTTTATTTAATTTTATGATATCTCAGTAAATATGAATCTTAGCCTAAATGCATTTATTAAAGAGAATAAAAACTTGTAATTCCAACGGATAATTTATTGTTAAAAAGACATATTTCGGAAAGCTTTTGCAATCTTTGATCACCCTTGAGAAATAAATGAAACAGTGACTAAGCTACATTGTATAAATTCAAATTAACAAAAAAATTTTGATCAAATTGTGTTCGAGAGACGTGTAAGCTGAAAGCATGAGAATGGAATTCCTTACTTCAATGAAAAAAAAAAAAAAAAAACTAGGAGTATTTTTTTCCCCTTTTACTCTGGTTTGGAATGACCTTTCTTTCTTTAAGCAATTCTCACATTATCAGCTTGCATGTCTCGTGAACTCAATTTGATTGAATTTTTTTCCGTTAATTTGAATTTATAACGTATACAATGTAGCTTAGTTACTGTTTCATTTATTTCTCAAGAGTGATTAAGAATTACAAAAACCTTCTGAAATATCTGTTTTAAAAATTATTTTGTTGGAATCAGAAGTTTTTGTTCTTTTTAATTTAACTTCACCAATGGAATCAAGAGTTTTTACAATTAGATGCATTTATATTGTAACAAGATATATTTAAATTTTTTCCTGTAATTAATGTCTTGAATCTGAAAATTTTAAATTTCATCATTTACAAAATTATCAATCTTTTAGTAATATTTCACTGTTAAGTTAAAATATATTGTAGGTTTATGTTAAAAAATTGATGTTTATATCTTTTTTTTTATATTTTGAATTAAATTTTTTTTCATATTTATGTTCATCTGAAACACATGAAATGTTCTCATATAGTAATGATATTTTAATAATTTAGAAATAGAAGAACAATACAAAAATATTAGATCATTATTTTCATAATAAATCAAATAAAAAAAATCTACAAAATATGAAATCTACTTTTGGCTTAGAAAACAATCAAAAACAACATTTTTTGGATGTCAGACAACTTTTTACTTCCATTATTTAGCTGTAATGTGATTTACAGATCAGTTAAATATGGTGGCTAAAAGGAGTTATAAGTTTCTTTTTCCTAATCAGTATATAGATTTTAGCATGCAAAGTTGTTATCTATTAATATTTTTTAAATAGTTTTGTCATTTTTGGTCATCTATACATTGTTAGTCACATGAGATGCAGATTTAAGCATATTTTTTAACCTTTTCATCCCAAGTTATTGATAACTGTTAACATTTGGAAAGAAACATCTTTTTCAATATATTCCAAGTAGTATTTTATTAAAATTGTTAATTAATTTTCATCAGATCTTTTTTATGGCAGCTTTTTTATTTTTTGGTAGAGTTTTAATTAAATTTACTCTTGACAAATGTTTAGAACTTAATAATAATAGCTTGAGTTGGGATTTTAAAAAATATTGAATTAAAAACTCTAAAATTTATTTTATGTATGCAAAAGTATTTTTAATGAGCAATTTATAACATTTTCTTGCAGTTAAGACTTTAAGATATTTAAATTATTGCAATGTATTTAAAAATTTTAATTAAACAAATCTGTGGTCATACCTACCATATGATATCCTAAGACAACACCAAGAAATTATACAATTCTTTTGAAATCCAAACTTACCCTGGCTAAAGCTCCTTTCAAGCGAAAATCATGTCGGCCATACAGATTGGTGAAGATGCGATCTTCATCTTTCAGAGGGCCATAAACATTCTGCAGAAAGAAGACAAAAACTAGAAATAAAGATCTATAATGACAACCACTGCACATTAAATGTCAAAGTATGATTTTTTTCCACACATTTAAAAACAGCTTCAGAAAATTAAAAACAACATTGTTCAAATATCTAATATTGTAAAAAGATTTTTTTTAAATATTTTGAAAGTAAATTTTCTAAGTAATGAGATATATAGACAATTAAAAAAATTGGTTATTTAGCTGAGAGAAACCTGACTTGATAGAATGGCTACCAATTATTTTCTTTGCAGTCACCATAATTCTTGCAACAGTACCTAGACGCCCCCCACTGCTTCCTTCTCAAAACTGAACTTCTCTAGATTAAAAAAAAAAAAAAAAAATGTTTTATTATACACACAAGCTATCTTCTTTTAAAAATTAAGATCAAAAACCTAAGATGAGTGATCAATCCAAGAGAGTGCTGAAAATTTCTGTTTGACCAAGAAACCCTTCCCATCAAAAAAATCTGATGTTTGGTTATTTGGTCAGATTTTGGGAGGGGGAGGAGGTCAAGGCCAAAAGCTTTTGAGTACCTACTTATAAATTAAAATCTATGAGCTATGCATTGCATTTTATTCATGAAGGAATTTTTGTGAGTTTTCCTGGACATTTGATTTTCATGTTTTTAGGCAGAAACCCAAACTTTATATCATTCTTATCTGAGGTTATTCATCATCATTAACTCAGTATATTTTGTGCCGTTGTAGTCACCACTCCTCTCCTTCTCTGTCTGATGCTGCTCTTACAGCCTTAGCCACAGTCATTCCAGTCCACCTCTTAATATCCTCAAACCAAGACATCGGTGGTTTTCCTTGGCACTGTTTGCCCTCCACTGGGCACAGAAGAATGTCTCTATTGAAACTGTCTCATTGCATATGCCTAAAGTAATGGAGCTTCCTTAATGCCATCTACTCTCTCAATACGTACTTTGTTCTGAAAATATCTAGCACTCATTAGTGAGCCTTGCTGTCCATGGTAATGTGAATTGCCCACATTTCAAAAGCATCAATCCAGTGTCTTTCCCTCTTGGTCAGTGCCTATGACTCACATCTGTAGCTAGTGATGGTAAAAGCAGTGGCACATCGTAATTTCAACTTTGGGCTGATGTGTATATTCCAACTATTCCAGATGTTGCCCATTTTTGTTGTAGCATTTCTTGCTACTGCCAGTCTTCTCTTGATCATCTGCACAGAGCTGTCTTGTGCATTGATGGCAGAGCCCAGGTACATAAAAATCTCCCACTTCTTCTATCCCCTCACCATCTAGCAGCAAGTCTGTGCAGCCCCTTTATTCTTCTGTTGATGACATTCAACAAAACCTTACTCACATGGACTATCAAGCTGATGGTGTGATAGTTGCTGCATTCCTTGAGGTTTCCTTTCTTCAACAAAGCAACAAAGACTGCTCTACACCAGTCACAGTGCCAGTGACCAGTCTTCCATATTAACTTGTAGTCACCAGATCAGATTGACTCCAGTAGCCTTCCAGATCTCTATAAGAGCAGTAACAATCTTTTCCTGAAGGGGTGGAGGCTCCATGAGAATGTCATCAGTATGGTCGTATTTGAGTTGGTCTGTATTCTTGTAAATACCTTTGCAGTAATTTGCCCATGTGGCCTTAATCTCTTCTGCTTCCATCAGAGCATTACCATTAATGTCATTGACAACATTAGCATGTGATGACCATCCCCCAGTTATCTCTTTCATAACTGGGAAATTTTTCTTTACAGTCTTTTGAGCCTCTGTACATTTTTCCTCCAAGCAATTCTGCATGTCTTCACCCAACCTCTTCTTGTAAGCCTTGTTCAGCTTACTCAACTCTTCTTGGTTGCTCTTTGCAATTGCCAGTGCATCCACTGAAAGCCACAGTCTCTTTCACACTAGGATATCTTCTTTTACTGTCTTGTCAACAATATGTCTCTTTATCAATAGCTGTTCAATATCTTCATTGTCATCAATTTTGTGGAGCCTTCTTTCTATATCCTTGCAGAATTTGGTTGATATCTGTGTTACATCATACTTTGGTGATTTTTTTGTTCTTTCATCCTGACTTTTAGTTGATTCATGAGGTTATTACTCGATATTTAAAAAAAAAAAAAAAAGTCAATTATTGGTCTTCCTTTTGAAACCTTGAGTTTGATTGATTTGCTTTTTACTGCTTATCAACCTTTAGCAGGCAGAAAATATTTTTTAGATTGTAAAGATTTTTCTGAGATAATAATGATTTACTGGTACAAGTTCTATAAGTTAACCCATAGCTTGGAGGAGGGGAGAAGACATGGATTCATACTTACCCAAGGATATTTATGTGTAAGTGAATATAATCAATGTGACTGAAATTTGAACTCGGCTATCCAATTTCGAGCCATTATCCATTACACTATACACACATCCAATCTTACAGCATCTGGTATTCCCAAGTGCTCACCCATCTAGGTACTGACCAGGTTTGACGTTGCTTATCTCCAGTGGTCGTACAAGAATTGGTGATTCAATGTGATATATTTATAAGGCCTCCTAGTGATGTCATCAATTTAGACTTTGAGAGAGAAATTGGAGGTTTTTACTGTTTATAATCATATTTAGTCCAACTATTATATTTATAATCACTATGAAATTAACTGGATCAGTCTGAAAACAATGCCAAGGATAAGAGAAATTTATTGCTTATAATCTCCAGCTAGAAACTAATGCAGTATGCTGAAACATGACATTATCAACTTAAAAAAAAAAAATATTTCACTGCTAATATACTAAATAGTTGTCAATCATTTTTTTAACATCAAGTACATTGTCTGGTGTGACTGATATGTTTTTCCATTTACTCTCTTCTTTAAGATGTCATAACTTGGAGCATTATCTGTAAGGATTTACAGATAAATCTTCATTTTATTGTGTAGGTGTTAAATTTTCAAGTAACTGATACCTGTATAATTGCTAATGTTATCTTTTATTGTAAAATTCCCTATGGTGATTTCTTAAATGAAGATAAATACATTGAAGTTAAGGCTGAAGTTAGCAAATACAAATTTCATTGCTGTATTGCATTTCTTTACTTATAAAATTACAAATATTTTTCATTAATACTATAAAAGAACAAAGAATGCTATAAAAATTTAGTTAAACTCTATAGAGAGAGCATTGTTATTAGAGGAACAAGACTGGGGGTGGAAAGGATTAGTAATGTCTTTAGGAGATTAAAAAATACTCAAAGCACACATGTTATTGGAATTTCTTTTCATATATCAGAGACAGATACAAATTAATGCTTCTTTCTTGATCATGGCTGGATAAGAAGTGTGCTTAAAAAATTAATTACTCATTTGCAGAAACTAATATTGGCAAGAATATTTGTTGACATAATTAGTCTACTTTATTATATTCAAGAGACTAAAATATAACTAAAAGCAATATTATTTTTTTGATTAGGTTGTGATTAAGAAAAAAAATTAATTTACCTTTTGAACTTTATTGTTATTAGTATTGTTTCTGATTGCAATAGCCAAGGGAGATAATTGAGGTAAGCGGGCTGAAATGAGAGAGAAAAAAAAGGTTTTAATGAAGACAGGCAGAAAGAAAAACAGGAATTTTAATTAGAGTAATGTAAACTTTTTGAACGAATTTTAATGCAGAAATATTTGTTAAAGTATCAATTGATCTTGCTGGTTATTTGTAACATGAATTAAATCATTCGGTTGTTATTAAATAATTAATTGAATTTCTTTCTGTAAATAAAAAAAAATAAAATAGGTAAGATTAAAAATAAAATTGTTTCTATTGATTTCCAGCAAAAAAAAAAAAAAAAAAAATTAATAATGGAAAAACATCTTCAGACAAAAATATATGTATATGAATGAATACTCTATTTAATTTTTAATGGTTAATTCAATTACAGTTACACTAATTCCGGTTTATGAAAATGGAATTTAATTTTTACGAGATTCAAATAGATTTTTACACTACTAATCAAAACAGTGTACTGTAAAAAACTTTACAGTACACTGTTTTGATTTAGTAGTTTATTTCCCATTTTCTTTCCCAGGTCTTTGGAAAGTTATAAAAGTTTAATAATTCTCATTTATTTACTTTGCAAAATATTACCTTGCTCATCAAAAGTCACATTTTCTTTTAATTATCATTCACATTATTTAAGCTTAATTAGTTGACAAATTTGTATATCAAACAAGGGTTTTTAAAAACTAAAAAGACAAAAACTAGAAACTAGTGTTCTGTTCTTTTCAGTGTCAAGACTGCCAATGTTCACACATTCTTGTTCAATATGCCTCTTTCTTACATTCTTCAAAAAGTAGATATCCAGGTTGATTTAAAAGATTTGATTTTCCCCCTCTTCATAGAAATTATCACCAAATTAAACATTTTTGTCGGTAACTCATTATGCCCCATCCAATAACGATTAAATTTGTTTTTTCATTTCATATGTAATTTTTAAAAAAAATTGCTGCTGAACGAACACTTATATTTTTCAAGTGAGATTTAATTAAAAATATTTAAAAACAAACAAAAATGTCATCTCCCAAAAAAAAAAAAAAAAGAAAAAAAAATTAATTTTGCTCTTGCTTGAGTCTTGATTGAGTCATTAAAACGACAATAACATTTGTTAATTTCCAAAATTGATCTGCAAAAAAAAAAAAAAAATCGAAAATAATGCTTAATTTTTTATAAAATTAATCTTTACAGATTATCTTGACTTCGTAAATATTTTTTTTATCATTTATGTAACGTTACATAACATTTATTTTAACAAGAACATCAGTGACATTCTGAACAACAAGATGAAAAAAATTCATTAAAGTAATTTAGTGGAAAGACGAAAAATTCGTATTTTTTATTAAAAGGTTTGCAGTATTTCCGAACTATTTGAAGATATTTGCATTTATTTACTCACTGACAATTTTTTAGCGATTTATCGGCACTAAATTTATCAGATTTTTTTAAAATATGCAGGTTTTTATTTTAACATTGTGGTTGTCCCTTTAAAACACATTATAAATATTGCTATTATTTGTTTGTTTTTTTATTCGAGTAAAAAAGAAAAAAAGAAGCTTAATTAGTAACAAAAATGTATTTATAATGATTTTAATTTAATGCCATAATAATACAATGTAAAAATGTGCAAATTTATATAGGTAAACATCGTGAAATGCCAAGTTTTTTAACCCCTAAAAAATATTTTTCCTGCTGTTTGACTATTAAACAAGTGGCTAAATTAAAACGAAAATAGTTTACGTCAATGAGTCAACTATTTTAATTTAAATACTTTACTACTTACGTTGATACGTCTGTAGTGCCGCCGAGGACAACAGCCGCAAAGAGGCAGCCATCATTTACTATAAACACCCAATATTCTGAACGTCCTCTGAAAAGGTCGGAGAAAAACAACTACTCCGCAGTGAGTGGAAAGAAGTAAAAATAAATTACTTTTGTTTTTTGTTAAAATAAAAAATAAAATATATTTCAAATAAAAACAAAAATATAATATGCGTATTTGTATTCATACACTTCATTTAAAAAAAACAATGAATTACAAATTAATTTGAAAGCATCGTCGTACACTTAGTTTCGGATCGCATTCACTTCCGTTTTTCTTTCGTGTATTCGTGTTTTTCTGTTAATTCACTGCCACCTAAAATATTTAATTTTTCGGTGTGATCACGCCTCTACATCTCTGACGTGAACTTGTCTTTGTTATTATATTTGGGTACCCGAGGTCAATTTCATATTTTCCCTTGAAAAGACAATTCTAAATTATTTCAAGTTAAGTGTTTTAATAACAAGTGCGACATTGAAATCCAAAGGCATGAAGGATGTCTTCCAAAAGCTAAGCAAAGTAAGAAACAAAAAAAATTGCTGTTTTATTAAGTGTATGGTAGCAAGAAAAAGGACAAATACCAGAGTAAGGTTGAATATATATTTTGGGAAAATAAAACAAGGAAGATATATACACAAGGAGTCAATAAAAAATAGGTGTCTGTTCAATAAGAGTTCTGTGGTTTATGGTTGAAGTTCATTCAAATGAGAGTCAGGAGATGGTAACTGATGCACAAGATTGGCTTCGTGCGAGTGGGGTGGACAGGAAGTGTGGAAGTAGTGATGGTGGGCAGTAGGTCAGCCTGGCTGCCATGGTGTGTATTCTTGCAGGACGAGGTGAGTGAAGAAGCTGCTGACTGTTGGAGTTGCTGGTGAGACAAGAATGCTCCTCTTTTGTGGCCTGTGTGGTTGTATTTATATTACTTCAGTGGATCGAGAAAGCATCTGTGTCCTTGGCTTGTGGTACCTTCCGATTGGCTGAAAAAGTCCACCATGTCAGTGACCTCGAGATGACCTGTAGGCTGTTTTAGTTTTTTTTACTGTAAAGAAGGGTCCATGAATCGCAATGAGATTTGGCTTGGAGTATAACAGTTAGAAACAAAGAAAAGAATACTTTACTGTTATGTAATGTCAGTCCTCTTATGTGGCAGTGAATGCTGGACAATCTCCTCACAGATGAAGAGACTTGAAGCAACAGAAATATGGTTCTACAGAAGGATACTGAGAATGCCATGGACTGAACATGTAAGCAATGACAAAGTTTGAGAGAAAATGTAAACAAAAAAGATGTTTATACTTAACATCAGAAAGGCATAGTTGAAATTTTTAGGGCTATAATAAAAGAGGGCTTGGAAAATTCGATACTCACAGACAAGAGGGTCAGAGAAAAAGAATGCATAGTCTTCCTACTTAATTATCAGATGGTGGAACAAATTTTAGGAGAGGTAACAAGAAAGCTAAATTTATTAAGAGCTACAAAGCACAGGAAATTGTGGAGAGGCATGGTCACTAACATCCTGAAGGAACATGGCACATAGAAGAAGAAGAAGCATTAATAACATTTATGTGCATGAAATTTAAATTTAGTGTGATGAATTTTGAAACTGACTTTTGTAAATAAGTCATTTTTGATTAGTTGTCCTGTAATTTTTTATGAAAATTTATCTTTTTGATTCCCTCTAGCATTGTGCATGACAAATCCTCAAGTGTGCAGTTTTTCTATCAACAAGGAAATTTTGAACAGCATGAAATTTTTTTTTCAAATGGGTATCCAATAAGCCAACAACTACATGATAGTGGGGAAAGATAGAGATACCATTTGCAACAACAGATGTCCCTGTACGAAAAGGAACATGGTTGGCGGGATCTATCTTTGTGAAGATTGATACTTTAGAATTTAAATTGAAGCCTTTGATAAAATGTTACATAAACATTATGCAGGTTATTGAAATATATAAGGAATTAGGAATATAAATAACTATTGCAGGCATAAAGAAGATCACTGGTCAGCTCAAAACATTAAGGATTATTAAGAAAAAACTACAGTTTTGAGGAAATGTTTTAGGGTCAAAATGTCAAGTGCCTTAAAAATTTAAATAGTGATTCTAGATTTAATCCAAAATTTAAATACAGAAAAATAATAAATCAAAGAACTTATTTATCTTGTCAGGTCAACAGGAGAGCTCAAGAGTCAGTATTCAAATGGCCAAAATTGGTCATTTGCACATCGGCTCCTAGTGGCACTTCTAGTAGCATTTTGACAATATTCAAAATATAATGTAAATTATTAATCGATCACTGACAGTGTTTCCCTCACAATTTTGAGGGACTTTTAGTGAGTCAGCACCTGCTTAAGGGAATCTATAAATACAAACCATAAAGCAAACAAAAGCCGGTTGGCAAATGGATTCCATGTTGTCAACTCAAACAGATTACTAATCAACTGAAACATTTCCCGTTTTTCTGATGTAAATTCTACAATGAAACCAAGGTACAAACTTTTCCCTTTTCAAGGGGTTTTATCATTAAACACACCTCAACATGTGTCTGTGAACTTTTCAATTTCCTATGGACTTCATTAAACACACCTAAATGTGTGTCTGTGAACTTTCCCATTTCTCATGGATTTTATTAAACACACCTAAATTTATGTATGTTAACTTTTCCCTTTCAAGGGTGTATTTAAAAACATCTCAAATGTTTATATGTGAACTCACCCTTCTTTTCAAGGGTCTTATCATATTCACCACACAATGTATATAACATCCACATAAATTATTATTTATTGATAAAATGAAACGGAAGATAATGATTTATTTAAATTCACTTGTTTAAATGCATTGCTTCACCATTGCGTTGTTATGTTTGTATTCTATGTACATTGGATCAAGATTGTTTTATTTAGGATAGAACCTGGAATAATTGGTAAACACTGCTACTACCTAGGACCAACAACATATTATCTTCTGCACCCCCCGATAAATCAGTAAGTACCATCTGGTATCCCACAGCAATCTAAATGTTCTATGTATTTGTTATGGAGATCACTAGCATCTAGATCTGTCCAATGCAAATTGCACACATGCAAATCTGTCCAATAGAATTGAATGGAAAGTTGTAGAAATCTGCAGAATGTTCTATTTGCACTACTACATAAACAATGCAAGTGAAGCAGTTTGGTTGTCATTTTGCTTTTGTCCCTGCCAGTCATATGCTGTTCTCCATCCCTGTGCTGGTGGTATCATGGCTACCACTAGCTTGGACTGGCTCTGACCAGCTTGGACAAGCTAAGACCAGTGGCCCAAGTGAAAACACTCAGGTCACCACGTTAAAAAATGACCTTGTGTCACAACCTGACTCAGTGTGTGTGTGTGTGAGGGGGGGTTCAAGTAAATATCCATATGCTATTGGAGACAGTTAATCTATTTGAATTATTGCTGTGCTTTCTCAACAAGAGAAACATGTGAACAAGAGAAACATGAAAGTATTCTGAATAGCAAAAAAAAGAAACATTTTCTGGTTTTGGTGGGCTGATTTAAAATCCAGTATACATTAATGATTATAATACATATATATATATATATATATATATATATATATATATATATATATATATGATGTAATGAATATGCATACACCTGGGTTCCTCCTCACAGTAATATGATTAGCTGGTATCAGCCATAAATACGGACTGATATGGAGGTACAGGATGACACCTATTGGCTGTACCTATTGTCTATGCCTATTGCCTACCACCACGATGAGGACCAGTGAATTATGGTTACCTGCTAGATTGTCCTACCCGATTACAGTAGACAACAAACACTTTGCTACTTTGAACAAATATATCCCTTTCGGAACATATTAATATATATATATATATATATATATATATATATATATATATATATATATATATAAAAACCAACAAACACTTTCTGGTCATCAAATCTGATGATGTAATTTAATTTATTGCTCCTCTTATGCTGAAAAATCCCAACACATTTTTGCTTACACAGTTTTGTCTTTAAATCTTAAGAAGCTGAGACCAACAGATCTTTGGTAAAAATGCATCACTTATAAGCTTTTCCACTTTGTCTTCTCATCTCCACATACAAAAAGAACAAAAATTTTAACATAATTGAAGTCAGTACTCAGTAAATTGATGAATAAACATTTAATGTGTGCCTCATTTTTTATTTCACAAGAATTAGTTGTTTTCCAAAAATTTAGTTGTTTTTTTTTCAGCAATAATGAATATAGAAATACTTTTCAATTTATATCATCTATAGGATACAAACTTCTGTATTTTATGACCAATAAGTGAAGCACAAACAAGAGATGCTTACAAATAAATCTTACTAAATTCAGTAGACACAAAAACTTTTTTACAATTCTGTATGAACAGGGCTCCAAGTTAAATAAGTGGTTTCTGGAACCAGATTGGATAGGGCAAGTCATGTAATGTGCAGTTGAATTCCAAATGACCTGGAAATAGGTCAGAGCTTGGGTTACTTAGTACATTCCAGTGCAGAACTTAGATAGAATTCATGAGCTGATCACTGACTTACCATAAGTGATAAAAACGGCTTGTCAACGACAGTCAGTGGCCAACCTGAAACAGAACACTCAGTGGAGAGATTTGAAAGGGAACAGTCAGGACCAGATCTGCAATGACACAGTTGGTGAAAAACAATCAGCAAGACTGAACAGCCTTGACACACATGTTACTATGACAACTTGTCATTTTCCTGCATACAAAACCATTACTAAAGTAAATCTTGTATCCCATTACTAAAGTAAGTCTTGTATCCTCTTCACTGTGCTTTTCAAAATTACTGCAAGCACACGCAATCAGCCAACAGTCATACACATGTTTCATTAGCATGTGCTTCACACACACATACTGGTGTACATATTACCCCAAACTTTGCAGATTCACTTGCAACAAATCCCATCGAACTATTGGTCTCTTCATGTCTACTATACATCAGAAGTCAAAATGGTTTTTGCT